GAGAAACAACAACAAAAGGTCCAATCTGATCAATAATTTGATGCAGAAAAACTGCAAATGATTTCAAGAGAGCCAGACCAACATTCACAGGTTCAGGAAATGGTCAAGAAGAAATGGCCTGCTCTAAACCCTCAGAATAGTGCTAAAAATAGGTCACCTCTTCTAATTAGAAAGCTATTACCTGGCCCAGAAATCCAGGATACTAAAAGGAAGAAAGTACTTGTTTCAATAAAAAGACTGCTTTCCACAAATGACTCACAAGATAAAAGGTCTCCAGTTTACGGTATGCGGCAACCACCTGCGTTTGTAGGGAAGTATTCCACTGAGAAAGAAATTTATGAGATTAAATATTCTCTAAATAAGGTCATGGATGTCCGACAAGGTCTACAAATGTTGCTATCCTCTGCAAAGGATATCTGAGAGATTAAAGATCATCCTGTAGAGAAATGATCCACAGCTCAGAACTAGTTTCAACAATCTTCAAGCAAGCGACATACCATTCTTCCTGCTTGAAGAGTGTGTGTACTGGGTGTCCATGTTAACCACATTAGTGAACACAAAGATTTGGGGAGATAGGTAGTGATAAATGTAATGTAGGTTACATGTAATGTTGGAATTCCCTCTCTAATGGCATTGTGGGTCAACCCACAACATGTGGACTGCTGCATTCAAGAAGGCAAATCACCACCACCACCTACTCAAGGGCAACTAGTGATAGGCAATAAATGTTGGCCAGCAATACCTAATCACACTAATAAAAAGAAGAAAAGTTATGTACATGATTGTATAGATATGGCAAAATATAATTGTCCTGAAGATATAATGTTCATTTGCGTTGCCTCCACCTATTTTACTGTTGTCACACATAGTATATGGGTGTTCTATTCCAGCTTTTGGAGAGAGAAATACATCTGCATTATTTCCCTAAGGCCCTGGCAATTACGATTTGCCAAATGTAGTGGTATATACTGCCATCATGCAAAAAAATCCTCTTACTATCTAACAACAGTGCCTCTTCGTAGATACTCCATGATGGTGTATCCTCTACCACTAACTTTGAGATAGGTCTAAAATAATGCAAAAACAAAGGGAGATTGGTGGCAGTGAGCTATCTCACATACCCTTAGCCAGTATCACATGCTGGTAGAGGCAGTAATAGAGGCAGAATGGTCTTAGACAATTCCTGTAAGAAAGTCATCTATTTGATAGGCAGTAGGAAGTCGATATTCCTCTTTTATTTTTAATAACATTGGAGGTATTTCAGAAATTAGTGGTTTGCTGTATATTTTCCCATAGGTTTGAACATTTTATATTGTCTCCCAGGAATCTCTAGCAGGCAGAACAACCAAATGATCTAATATGAGATAGGCCACTGTGTGAAAAGGCATTATTCTCCATTGATTAGTACAAAAGCTAAACTTTGTAAGGTTATTTAACATCCATTCCAGTGTTTTTTTTGCCATGTGTCCTGTCTCTGGTTTTCCACTGATTTGATAAAAGCATTAGAAATTCATATGCCCTGTGGATTGGACTGAACCTGGAATTGCCAGACCTGGATGAGTGCAGCTCCAACAACACTCAAGAAGCTTGATACCATCCAGGACAAAGCAACCGACTTGGTTGGCACCACATTCACAAACATTCACTCCCTCCACCATAAGACCATAAGACATCAGAGCGGAAATTAGGCCATTCAGCCCATCAAGTCTACTCTATCATTCAATCATGGCTGATAAGTTTCTCAACTCCATTCTCCCACTTTCTCCGCGTAACCCTTGATCCCCTTGACAATCAAGAACCAATCTGTCTGTGCTCAATAGCAGCAGTGTGCACCATTTTCAAAATGTACTGCAGAAATTCACCAATATTCCTTCGAAGGCACCTTCTAAAACCATGACCACCTCCATCCAGAAGATAAAGGGCAGCAGAGACATGGGAACACCATCATCTGCAAGTTCCCTTCCAAGCCACTCAGCATCCTGACTATATACATTGCCATTTGTTCAGTGTCAGTGTGTTAAAATCCTGGAATTCCCTGGCATTATGGGTCAAAATACAGCACATGGATGCCGACATTCAAGAAGGCAGCTGACCAGCACCTTCCCAAGGTCAACTAGGGATGGGTTTTAAATGATAGCCAGCCAGCAACGTTCGAATTCTATGCGTGAATAAAAAAAGCTGAATGACTGATTTGTTTTGGAGACCTGTCACAATTTATAGCATTTATCCAGGCATAGAAAGGATTTCTCAGGATCCCGTAGGCTATTGGTGAGTATCTAAATCACAATTTTCCAATGATGGGATTTGGAAACAGCACCTTTCTAGGTCAAAGGTATTCTATAAAGTCATGTTGTCTTTTCCTATTTGAAGATTAGGTCCAAAGTTACACAGGGTCTGTCCACAGCATGTTAATTTATATACTTTAAGACAACATTCTGCTGCTGTTAATTTGTGATATCCTTGTCTGATTTTCAGTGGCAACAAATATCGCTGCAGCTTGGTATCTCCATTGGTGCTGCCTCCAGACAGCAAAGAGCGCAGCCGGTCACCAATATCTGCATAGGCAGTGATCATCAACACTCCAACCCGGTGCACAGACACTGGCATCGGTCATATACCAGGCTCACCACACCTCATGGCACATCTCCAATCCACATACAATATGGTTCTGCACTTCAATGCTGAACTTTGGAGCAGACTGGCACCTTTCCTTGTCGTGCTGATGTCAGGATACTCTGCCTGTAGGGACAGGCACCATCTCATGGATTGGACCAAGCTGCATTTCAGGCTTCTCATTTGCTCACTCTTTGTGCTCAAGCATGTTGTGATTTCTTGGACATTCACAGCATCTCTACTTTATCTTGCCATTCTTTTGGTGTTTTCCTCCTCAGCCAAAGCTTAAAGCCACATGTACTCCAGTCCCAGAGATCTTCAAGTAAATGGAATCCACATATATTTTTCTTATAATATTTAGACACTAAACAATATTATTAAGGATTTAGGATAGTGGTAATACAAGCAAAATGAAAAAAAAACACTTTGCATCATTATCAGACTTCAGGCCTATGACCAGCAGTGTACACAAGGATTGGCGCTGGGTCCACTGCTTTTCATCATTTATACAAATGATTCAGATGTGAACATAGAAGGCATGGTTAGTAAGTTTCTGGATGACACCAAAATTGAAGGTGTATTGGATAGTGAAGAAAGTTACCTCAGAGGACAACAGGACCTTGATCAGATGAGCCAATGGGCCAAGGAGTGGCAAATGGAGTTTCATTTAGATAAATGTAAGGTGTTGCATTTTGGAAAGGCAAATCAGGGCAGGACTTGTATACTTAATGTCAAGGTCCTGGGGAACGTTGCTGAACAAAGAGACCTGGGAGTACAGTTTCATAGTTCCTTGAAAATGGAGTCACAGGTGGATAGAGTAACGAAGAGGGCATTTGGTATGCTTGTCTTTTTTTGGTCAAGCATCGAGTATAGGAGTTGGGAGATCATGTTGCAACTGTACAGGATAATGGTTAAGCCAATTTTGGAATCCTGCATTCAGCCCTGGTCTCCGGGCTATTGGGAGAGTGCTGTGAAACTTGAAAGGGGTCAGAAAAGATTTACAAGGATGTTGCCAGTGTTGGAGGGTTTGAGCTAAAGGGAGAGGCTGAACAGACTGGGGCTATTTCCTTAGAGCGTCAGAGGCTGAGCAGTGACCTTATAGAGGTTTATAAAATCATGAGGGGCATGGATAGGGTGAATAGCCAAGGTCTTTTCCTCAGGGTGCAATAGTCCAAATCTAGAGGGCATAGATTTAAGGTGAAAGGAGAAAGATTTAAAAGAGACCTCAGGGACAACTTTTTCATACAGAGGGTGGTGCATGTATGGAATGAACTGCCAGAGGAAGTGGTGGAGGCTGGTACAATTACACCATTTAAAAGCCATCTGGATGGATATGTAAATAGGAAGGGTTTAGAGGGATATGGGCCAAATGTTGGCAAATGGGGCTAGATTGATTTAGGATATCTGCTCAACATGGACAAGTTGGACCAAATGGTCTGTTTCCGTGCTGTACATCTCTGTGACTCTAAGATTCTATTACCAGTTTGTCCACAAACCTATGGTCAGTGTAGTACATGGGACTGTTAGCTAGATGTTAATATTCAATCTGTAATATTAATGTTGTTAGACGGTACAGGCCCTCGTATTCATGTATGTAATTTATTAGTTAACAAATTTTACTGATTCAAACCAGTACAGTCCTCATCTGTTTATAGTTCCCACAACCAGCTTCTAATGTTTCTACAATTCTGTCCTTATCTGCCATCCCTTCATGTGTAAATTCTAATAGAAGTTATTGGGTGACAACCAGAAAGAGGATCTGAGAGAGATTATACAAAGGGCCATGATACAAAGTTTGTGCCAGCTAACCTACCACAGAAAACAGCGCAACTTGCTATTCATTTGACTATAGATTTTGTCATTTGTTCCGCAACCAAACACTTAGCACTGTTTAGCTCTTACATCAATTCACATGAATAAAAATTTGGCACTAAGGTATAGAAGAATACAACAGAAACTGATATATTCTATGATATTCTGTCTGTTAGGGTTGCCTCTATTTTATGGTAAACCACATGAAAGTGTGGCATTCCGTTAATATTTTCTCAGTCTTACTCAGTTCCCACTCATTGCATTATTTTGTTTGCATGACCTATAGTATCCCAGTAAATGTGATATATTTAATCAGAAACACTTCACTGAAATATTCAAATAAATTGAAAATGATACGTTCCAAAATTCAGAAGAACCATCAACAATTTCCAATAATTTCCGTTTATTAATGCCTTAGTCATTATAGCAACACCTTAGTAAGCTTTGGGTGCTGTTTTGTGGTTTCTCACAAATGAAATAAATTTAAGATAGAAAGAAGTCAACATCATAAGATGACATCAAAGTGAACAAACCACATCCCTTTGAGTTTATTATAAATTAAACGAGATTTTCACTTGTAATAATTAGAGGCGACAATGAAATCATTGCAACATACTCTGTTCATTACTTTGGTTATTCTTTCCCTAACTCCGACATGTAAGTAACAAAATACGCAACTTTTATAATATGGTCTGTTTATAATACAATTTATTGTAATAATATTTAAGTAGTAATCAGCATATTTCAAGCATTTTGTCATAATTGACCAGCATTCTCAATTTCTGATGTATCAAAGTAGTAACGTTATCTGTTTCTGTGTCTATTTTTTCCATGCATTATGACCTACTTTTATTTTTTAACTATTTAGGGAGTATGGAATACTTTTGAACCAATGTAACATGAGTTGGGCCATGAGTATTTACAATTTATATTAAGGCCCTGGACTTTTTTTGTTCATTCTTGGATGAAGGCATCACTGGCTAGGCCAGCATTTATTTCCCATCCTAGAGGACAGTTAAGAGTCAACCACATAGCTTTGGTCTGGAGTCACATGTAATCCAGACCAGGTACGGATCACATTTTTCTTCCCTGCAGGGCATTTATGAACCAGATGGGTTTTTCTCCAATAAACAACAATGAATTTTTGATCATCATTAGACTTTTAATTCCTGATTTTTATAAAAGTCAAATTCCACCATCTGCTGTAGCAGGATTTGAAATTTAGTCCCCAGAACATTAGTTGGATAAAACCACTAGGTCATTGCCTCCCCTGGACGCAGGGGTAGAATGTGAACTATAGCCAGTTTTGCAGATGATACGAAAATAGGTGGAAAGTAAGTTGCAATAAAGAAATAAGAAATTTACAAATGGATGTGGATAGGTTAGGAATTTTGGCAAGTATTGATTGCTAAAGGAATGAAGAATAAAAGAAGCAGGGAAGTGATGGTGATGTGGTAATGTCAGTGGGCTAGTAATCCAAAACCTTGAGGTAATGTTTGGCGGAGATGGGTTCAAATCCTGCAATGGCAGGTGCTAGAATTTTAGGGGCAGCACGGTGGCTCAGTGATTAGCATTGCTTCCTCACAGCGCTAGGGTCCTGAGTTCAATTCCACCCTTGGTCGACTGTCTGCATGGAGTTTGCATATTCTCCCCGTGTCTGCGTGGGTTTCCTCCGGGTGCTCTGGTTTCCTCCCACAGTCCAAAGATATGCAAGCTAGGTAGATTGGCCATGCTAAATTGCCCATAGTGTTCAGGAATGAGTGGGTTATAGGGGGATGGGTCTGGTGGGATGCTCTGAGGGTCAGTGTGGACTTGTTAGGCCGAAGGGCCTGTTTCCACACTGTAGAAATTCTGTGAAGAGAAATATTGCAGTTGTACAAGACTGTGCCTGGCATACTGTCTTCAGTTTTGATTGTTTTTCATTTGATTCATTATTTTGGTGTAGGTGCATTGGATGCAGTCTTGAGAAGGTTCACGAGATTAATTCCAGCTATGAAAGGTTTGTCTTATGAGGAGACATTGAGCAGTTTAGGCCTACACTAGCTAGAGTTTAGCAGAATGAGAGGTGATCTAATTGAGGCATATAGAATGCTAAAAGAGAAACAAAGTCGACATGGACTGAGATGTTTCCCCTTGAAGACAATCTAGAACAAGGTCATAGTTTTTGACGAAGGGGTAGCAGATTTAAAACAGAGATAAGAAAGAAGTACTTCATTCAAAAGTCATGAATCTGTGGAGTGTGGTGGATACTGGGTCACTGAACAATTCTAAGGAGGATACAGATTTTTAATTAGTAAGGAGTTATAGGGGTATGGGAAATCACTTCTCTCAAAGTTCATAAATCTATGGAATTCACTAGCCTAGAGCATGGTCAATAGTGGGACACAGAATAATTTCAAAGAGGAGATGGACAGATTTTAAAATTAGTAATGGGTTAATTAGTTATGGGCAGTAGGTGGGAAAATGGAGTTGAGGCCGAGCTGAGAACAGCCATGATCATATAAAATGGTGGAGTAGGCTTGAGGGGCTGAATTGCTTACTCCTACTCCTAGTTCTTATGATCTTACAATATTCAACTCCAGAAATAAGATATATTGGAATGAATGGGTTGTTATGAGGTTAGGTGAGACTGGTGGGGCTTGTTTCCACTGGGGTTTAGAATATTAAGAAGTTACTTAACAGAAGTGTTTTAAAATTCTGAATAGTTATGAAAAAGTTGATGTAGAAAGAATGTTTCCTCTCATGAGTCAGCCCAGAAATAGCTAACACAATTTTAAAATTACTGTTTCAGACAGAGATGAAGAGAAAGTATTTTTTTCCTCAGAGTGTTGTGTGACTTTGGAGCTCTGCCTTAGAAGGCTTTGGAGTTGGAGTCATTAAATCTCTTTTATATCGATATCTATTGATATGCTTATTGAAGACTTTGGAATTTTCATTTCTGTTGGCTGTCAGCTTTTTATCATAACAAAGACAGAAGTTGCTGGAAAAGCTCAGCAGGTCTGACAGCATCTGTGAAGAAAAAATCAGAGTTAACGTTTCGGGTCCGGTGACCC